AATTAACACGCCCCCCCCCCCAGCTCCAAATCCTTACTACATGCCTGAGGAACAATCACTTCCTCTTGTCGAACCTCCATTTCTTCATCTGTAAAATGGGGATGGTGAAAATATCTACCTCCTGGGATTGCTGGCAAGGCACAGGGCCTGACACATACCTGCAGTATTTACTGCATTCCAGGCACTGTTCTAGGCCCTTCTCAAGCCAATGTAGGAATTGCTCTTACACAACAGCCCTGTGTAGCAGGTGCTATTACAGATGGAGAAACAGAGGCACAGAAAAGTTCCTTGAAGCACCCCAACTAGTAAGCAGTGGGGTCAGCAAGTTTTTCTGCAAAGGTCAGATAATAAGTACTTTAGGCCTCAGGAGAAAGAAAACCTCTGTTGCAACTACTCAACTCTGCTAATGCAATATGAAAGCAGCGATATGTCAATGAATGGGTGTGGCTATGTTCCAATAAAACTTTATTTACAAAATCAAGCAGTGAGCCAGATTTGGCCAATAGGCTGTAGTTTGTTGAACCCTGCTCTACATTGTGCTGTACTCTAAACAAATGGCAGATGTGTTTATGATAATTATCAAACTATTACTTTCCTGACCCTAGTCCAGTGCCTGGAACAATTAGATTCTTAATAAGTAGTTTTTGAGTTTGAATGGGATGGGATTGCTATGGTAACTTGAACAAGCATTTTAGATCCAAGCTTCCCATTTCTCATTTTGTAAACTGAATGAGTAATGCCAGTTCTGACAGTCCCCTGCCATGTGACTTTTACAAAGACTTCTCTTAGGAGGCAGGTGGGATTTAGTCCTTGCTGGGTCAAAGCTTCAGTCCTGTTCTCCTCTAATCTCCAAGGACTGATGGTGGGAGATGTGGCCTTGGCCACCTCCCTGTAGGGAGAGAGGCTCAGGTTGCCCCCAGGGCCTCTATTAATGATGCATTCACAGCTTGTGCCTGTAAATATGCAGCCAAACACTGGCCCCAGTCAATCATTGACATAACATTCACACCTCAATTGTCACTGTGTCCTCTGTCTCAGGGCCAAGTGCCAGCGGAGGCACCATGCCCCGCGAGGGCAGTACCTGAGCTGCAGGCACTCAGAAATAAACTATTTGCCAAATTCATAGCTACCTCAGTCCCATGGGGTCCAGGGGGTAAACGGAGCTCCTACATCCCAGAGAAGATGGCCTATATCAAGTTCCCTCAGGCCAGCTTACATAAGGATTCGTTCACCTCATTCATTCATCCTAGGATGATTTCCTGAGCACCTAGTGTGTGCCAGGCATTACAGGAGCTCCTGGGAACTCACACCGAGCAAGTTAACAAAAAATCATCAAAATAATTTCAGAAAGTGATACTCAGTGAAGAAAATAGAACAGGTCACAAGACAGAGAATAGCTGGGTAGGGGTGGGGTGGGGTCAGAGAAGAGACACTGAGCGTTCAGTCAGCAGAGGGAGCTGCCCCTGCAGAGCTCAGGAAAGGTCGGCGGGCCCAGGCAGGGGCACTGGCGGAACAAGGCAAGATCAGAGCGGTGCTTCTGATGACCTGAAATTTAACTCATTTGGAGGGTTTTGTTCATCTTTTTTGATATTTTCAGAATTTTTAAACCAATCCCTTTCTTTGCAATTACACCGTAATTTTGCCAGCAAATGCCTTTAAGAGAAAGAGTTTGTTTCCATATTTGCCTGCTTTTTTCCTAAAGATGGCTGTGAACACTGTGGAAATGGAAACTCAGCTTCAGGCTGAAATCTCAGAGGAGGGGTGACGGCAGTGGGTGGGGGGAGTGCCATGGTCTGAGGGTGGCATGAAGCCTTCCCTTCCTCTCCATCTCTTGAAGCCACCATGTAATCCTCATGTGAACTTCTATAGGTGTGACTCACTGGGGTTTTTAAATGGCCTTATCTGAATGAGTGTCTCTTAAAGCCGAACATGGCATCTGCTGTGACCAGAAATTCTACTCCTGGGCATGTACCCAACAGAAGTGCCTACACTGTGCCCCAGAGACACGCACGAGAGTACATTCATAGTGGCCCCACACTGTAAACAACCGGTGCCCGTCAGCAGAGAATGGGTAGACGGACAGTGCACTTGATAGCATAATAGGCACTCAATACGTATTTGTCAAATGAAGGAACGAGTGAAGGAATGAATAAATGAGTGAATGAATAAAGGTCTGTGGATATAGCTCAAAGATACTTACAACAAATATGGCTTTATCTTGTAAATTCATTTAAAATGTTGTATTTTGTTCTATAGCAGACCTGGATATAAAATGATACTTTACTTGTCATCATGTATATAGCCTCATGTACATTTGGGCTCACCATTATGTCTTCCCGGATATGGTACATGTGTCCTAAGTTTAGAAGCTAAGGCTTTTGTGTGCTTGGCACCTCCCATAAGGTAGCTGAGAAATGGAAGTCGGGATCCTATGACCTTGGAGGACATTTGGGTCTCAGCTGAGAAACTGGAGGCACAGAGGTATAATGGGATATTCCCAAGGTTACAGAGCTAGCTGGTATTTTTATTTATATTTTCTTTATATTTTTGAAAAATAAATCCATCTTCCTGCATAAGAAAGAAGTCTGGAAATGCTTCCTCCTAGCTTTGATCCCCAGGTTTGCTAGTTGGGTGGCTATTGGCAAGTTGAACCTTGATTTGCTCATCTGAAAAATGGGGACAGTAAGAGTATCTGTCCCATAGGGTTGCTGTGAAAGTTTAATACATGCAAAACACTCAGCACAGTGTCTGGCCCTTGGTAAGTGCCCCATAACATTTAGCTGCTGTTGTTGATGTCCATGCCTTGGAGCTGGGGGAGAGGGGAAATGGAGGAACTGACCTTGGCCTCCAAGGGGTGGGAGCCAAAGACAAGATGCTTCTACTCATTAAATTTGGGTACAACTTGCTCCAGTTCAAGAGGAAACTTCTATGGGATCCATTTGACTGTATCTCTCTCCAGGAGTGGTTGAATCTACTGCCTTGATCGTTTGGTTGAGAAGACAAATTAGCCAGAAAGCATTTTTGTTCAACAAGAGTCATCAGGTGGTAGAGTTTGTGAAGTCCAGGCCCTTGGTCATCATTGGCTTCTTCCAGGTACTGAGGTCAAGAGGGGGGAGGGGGCTTTTTGACTGATAGCAAGTGCTGGGTTTGAGACTCTGCCACTTGGGTTGTTCCATGCCCAATTTTCCCCATCCAATGAACTGGTTTTCTGGGGGAGCTCCAAAGCTTAAATGAAGAAAGAAAAGATGGAAGTTGGAGTGGTAAGAGAAGCTGGCCAGAGAGATGGACAGGAATGAAAGAAAGGAGAGGAGACTGACATATTCATTCAATTGGTTTTAATAGTGTAACTCATCTTTTGTGGGGTCCATTGAGAACATCGTTGAATAAGGGAATGTCTTATTTTCTCATTTGAGAGCCATTGCTTTCTATGCTTCTGACAGCCACCAGCCATGCTTGGGCCAGGCTAGTCTCTCTCCCTAAAGTCTCCCCAAACATCCCCATATACTAAAACCTTATAAAAGTGTTTATAAATGCATTATAAACACTCACCCATTTGCAAATATGCCAACCCTCACCGCAGGTGCAGCAGGGGAGATGTTTGGGGAAGGACAAACAGCTTGGATATGATAGTAAAATGTCTCACGATAGATTTTTATTAATTTTATTTTTTGTATTTATAGATAAATTGCAAATTATTTTTGCTTTTAGAGAATGAGTTCCTCGTGAGTCTTAGCTCACTCACTGTAAGTTGATGACTCCTCCCTGTCTCAGTAGAAGTCAGGACTTTGTCGTCCTGTTCACAAATGTGGGGTGTCTGTGCCTGTTCTTGTCATCCTCTTCTTTGACAGCGTTTTTGGGCCTGATTTCCTTTCAAGCTGAAGAATGAAGGCTGAGACTGGAGTCATATCTTGATACCAGGTTCACATTTGCTACCACATGTGTTCTAGTCAATTGCCTCTTCTGAAAGCAATTAAGGAACAAATGTTAAAAAGTCTCAATCCTCAGGTTAAAAGAACCTTTAATAATTGGAAAAGGTCAAGTTTATCAATTCTCTCCACTGATCTCTGAGGTGCCTACGGTGGCTTTAGTCATAGCCAGAGAAGCCTTCTGGATATGAAATATTCATGAAAGGGGTTTTCAGTGACCCAACAAAACCCCAGAACTTAGAAAAGTGAGGAGACTGACTGACCACCGTTTCTATCCTGCCCTTAGATAAGCCCTACATCTCTGCTTCCTACCAAAGCCTCACCAAGCGTTCTTCCTCACACAGGACTTAGAGGAAGAAGTAGCAGAATTGTTCTATGACGTGATCAAAGACTTCCCGGAGCTCACGTTTGGGGTGATAGCGGTTGGAAACTCCATTGGGCGTTTCCATGTCACTCTTGACAGCGTCCTGGTGTTTAAAAAGGTAGGACCTTGATCCTATTGCTAGTGAGGGTGTCTCTAGTTTAAAGTAGGGGAAAGTTTATGTGTTGGGGATACAAATTCTGGTTCTGCCACTTTTGAGCTAAGTGGCGTTGGACTAGTTGACTTCTGTGAAATCGGAGTCTCCTGGTGTTTCTCTGGCCTTTCTAGCCATTCTCCAGTATAAACTCCTCCTCCTTCCTTTAACTGGCGCACCCCATTCATCAAGGCTCAGTCCCATGCCCTTTTTTCTTCCGGTCCATGCTTCACCTTTCACCATCAGCAATTAACATCTATACACCCACGACTTATAAACACCCATCTCCAGCCAGACTTCTCTCATCTCCAGACCTTCATGTGCATCACCAAATGTCATGGCATGGCTAACCCCAAAGTCACAATGTCCTCTGCAAGTCCTCTTTCAGTGCTTTCTTTCTCTCAGTCAGTAAATGGTGCCACCATCTCTCCCATCCAGTTAAGAAGCCAGAAAACCCAGGCACCATTCTAACACCTCCCTCTTCTTTGCCCCTCATAACCAACCTATCACTCCAATCCTATTGATTTTCTATCCAAAATGTCCCTTGAATCTGTTTATCTCTTTCTGTCTCTACTGCTACCATCCCAGGTCAAGTGACCATCACCTGCCACAGCCTATTGCAACAGACACCCAACGGATCTACTCTTGTCCTCTAAAGAGCACTCTTAACAAAATTCACATGTGATGGTCACTCCCTTCCTCCCCTCTGAAAGTCCTTTAATGGCTTCACATTAATAGGATAAAGACTCAAACCCTTAGAAAGATCCACAGGGCCTTTCATGAGTCTGTGCCCATTGAGTACCTTCCTCCTCTCCCTCTCTGGGATCTAGACCTGAGCCATCCAATGTGGCAGCCACTAGCCATGTGTTACTATTTAAACTTAATTAAAATTAATTAAATTAAAATTTTAGTTTCTCAATCACACTAGCCACATTTCAAGTGCCCCATAGCCACATGTCACTGGTGGCTATGGTATTGGACAGCATAGATTTACAGAGCATTTCC